GCGATCGGACTATGTTGCTGCTGATTGGTCGTCCGTGAGTCCCAAATGTCGCCCTTGCTGTTTCTACTGCTGTGCGCTTCCGCTGGCGGAGGTGCGATAAAACCATAGACCGATCTTGTCTGCGTGTTGTCACTCTAACACGTGGTCTCTTCGGAAGATTGGCGACACTTCCGGTACGTCTGTACTTTGAGGCCAGTCTAGTAATAGACTTCTTTGTAACACGCATTCTTCGGGCAACCTAGAAAAAAAAACAAAGGATTACAAGGTTCATAATACTGATATGCAACGGGCTTGTCGTAGAATGCATGCACTGAAATTCAATAAAACGAACAATGGGTATTGAAACACATACCTGCTCATGAGACGCTCCGGCTTCTAAAAGTCCAATAGCGATTGCACGTTCTTGCAACGACATACGAGCCATGTTTTGTGTGTTTATGTTAGGCACATCTACACTCTATCGATAAATGTTGATATTGGTCATTATGGTCAGTTGCACGAAATGCACGTGCTCGTTTTTTGTTTTCAACGACCACTCTCAAAGTATGATTTTGCATGGTTAATTTTGCATAAATTCATTTTGAGCAGACGACAAATTGGGGCATTACATATAATCATTATCTAATGTGCATATTTCTAAAATAACACGTGTTTAATGCAAGTTTGTTTTTGGGGTACTTATAAGTTTCGTTAAGTGTATAACTGTCAAAGATTCATACCCATTACCAAAAATAGACGAGTGCTAAGATAGCCTGGATGGGGCCAGATATTTTAGCATTTGTGATCTAGCCTCAGGATTTTGGCAAATAGAGGTTAATGAAAAAGACAGGACAAAGACAGCATTCTGTACAAGCAGAAATAGGCTGTATGAATATGTGACCTTACCAATGGGACTGTCTAACTCACGTTTCAGCGTTGTATGGAGTTAATATTTCGAGGAATGCAATGGAAGTCATTATTACTTATGGAAAAGATTTTACAGAACAATTACAGCGATTGAGTGAAATGTTTCAACGACTTATGAAAGCTGGATTAAAACTGAAACCAGAGAAATGTGAATTATTTCAAACCTCTGTTAAATTTCTTGGATATACAGTTTGCCAGGAAGGAGTAAAAACAAATAATGACAAAATTGAATACATTAAAAAGTGGCCAGTGCCAAAGAACTTGACAGAAGTAAGAAGTTTTGTACAATTCTGTTCTTATTACAGAAGATTTATAAAGTCATTTTCAACTAGAGCTGCACCATTGAATGAACTGATGAGGGCCGGTCAGAAATTTCATTGGAGTGCAGAACAACATGCCTCATTTAAAGATTTGAAATCTGCATTTATAGACGGCAATATCTTAGCTCATGATCACCCGAAAAACAAAGGACTGCTTATTTTGGATGTTGATGCGAGTGACACTGGGATTGGAGGATGCTTGTCACAGATTCAATACTGTGATAAAGCTAAATGTGAAATAGAGAGACCTGTTTACTTTGCTAGTAAGTCTCTTACTAAGGCACAGAGATCATATTATGTAACACGTCTTGAACTTTTAGGAATGGTGACTTTTCTACACAAGTTCAGACATTATTTACTGGGACGTGAGTTCTTAGTGAGGACTGATCATTCCTCATTAAGATGGGTAATGTCATTCAAATCTCTTGGCAAGATGGATAGAGATGATGGCACAATTCAATTTTAAAATTGAACATCGTAAGGGGACCAAACATGTGAACTGTGATAGTTTATCCAGAACTCCGTGTGATCCAAAGGAATGTGACTGTTATGATGCAAATTCTATACTTGAGAATTTGCCATGCAAAGGCTGTAAGACCTGCATAAAACGTCACAATGATTGGTCGGAATTTGAGAAGGTAGATGATGTGATACCTTTATTTACCAGGAACATTTCTGCTTCCCGGACAAATAATGAATGTACAAGTTTTCATGCTGTAAATTATTTTCTCTACTGCTGGAACTTAATACAGTGTAACTTCCGAAAACCGAACACCCATGGGACTTGTCAAAAAGTTCGGATTTCAGAGGTTTCCGGAATTCAGAGGTTTATGATAATGTGGACAAATGTGGAATAAAATGTTTTTTGACTTGACTTGACTTTGACTTGACTTGACAAGACTAAGTAAGCCACTTAATATCACTAAATGTCAAGGACGATGTGGCCATTACTGTAATATAATATCAGTTTGTAAAAATGTTGTTAATTTCATAAACTTACATATCGTCCGATGCTAGTTAATTAATTATTACATCAAATGCAATAAAATCCCTAAAGACGTTTGATGCATACATTGTCCCATTAATTGTCATTTAATCCGCTAATAAACACTTCAAATTAACTGACCGCCGTAAATTACTTTGACTAACCGCATCACTTCAAACATACCATTTCAGTTTGTGATTTTAACGCGTGTCAAATTACACGATCACCGCTAATTAGTAAACAATCGATAGGGAGATTAAATCTTCCTGCAGGGTTTACAATGTATTTCACACCTTTGGATATTTCCGGTTTTTGGAGGTAAAATTGCATTGATTTGACTCTAATTTTTCGAAAATATCGTCCGGAATTCAGAATTTGGAAGTTCCGGAATTCAGAAGTATTATATTAATAGAAAATAGAAGGGAAAAATCGGGACCGAAAAAATTGTTCGGTTTTTAGAAGTTTCCGGATTTCAGAAGTTCCGGAATTCGGAAGTTACATTGTAGTTGTATTTTTAGCCACAATAATCAGGAATGTGACAGTTGGATTTCACAAAGTCACTGGTAGTGTTTTGCGTCTAAGGATCCGAGACAATGTGTTTGTTCATGAACAAGGTGTATCTCTGGAAGGTGTGGAAAGGGGGACAAGTGGATTGAAGTATAACAACATTGACACTACCCTCAATGTTGGAGATCAGTTCAAACCGTCGCTCCTTGTTAATCAATCTCCATGAAGTATGGCAAAGCTACAGAGAAATGATCCAGACATAGGTTGTGTTATCATCTGGTTAGAAAAAGGCAGAAAACCAACAAGGGATGTAATTGCTGGTGAATCACCAATAGTTTGTAATTTATGGCTAAATTGGGACATATTACACTTGAAAAATGGTGTTTTGTTTCGTAAACTCACATGTAAGGACATGACAATTAAAGAACAGTTAGTTATACCATCATTATTAAAAAAAGATGTTTTAAAGTCATGTCATAGTTTTAAGTTATCAGCTCATCTTGGTATTGATAAAACAGTATTCAAAGTAAAGTCATCTTTCTACTGGTACAAAATGAAAGATGATGTTAAAGATTTCATACGTAATTGCACTGTTTGTGCAGCTCGTAAAAGACCAACCAAACAAGGGCGGCATGGACTAATGGAAAATTCAGTCTCATTTCCCCTCGACAGAGTCTGCACAGATGTGATCGGACCACTTCCTGTTACACAGCAAGGCAATCGATACATTCTTGTAGTGATGGATCAATTTACAAAGTTTGTAGAGTGCTATGCCATTCCTAATCAGACGGCAGAAATTGTGGCAAAGAAGATTGTGTATGAATATTTCAGTAGATATGGTGTAAGTTTGGATATCCATAGTGATCAGGGATCAAACTTTCAGTCCAAATTATTTAGGGAAGTGTGCCGTCTCTTGGAAATTAATCAAACCAGAACAAGTTTATTCCATCCTTCTGGAAATGGAATGTCAGAAAGGTTCAATCAATGTCTATACAACATGATTACCACGTACATTGATGAAAATCAGAGCAACTGCGACGAGGACCTAGCACTTGTAACATCAGCTTATCGGTCTTGTGTACAAAGTTACAGTCCTAATTACTTGATGTTTGGACGAGAGGTAACGTTGCCAATTCAACTACAATATGGATGTTTTCCAATATCAAAAGAACTTGTAAATGAATCAGTGTATGTAGAAAACTTAAAATCTAAACTAGAGAATATCTATTCTTTGGCCAGAACATGCACTAAATCAACAATAAAGAGACAAAAACGAGATTATGATTCAAGAATAAACACTAATTCTTATAAAATAGGAGATCTTGTATACTGTCTAGATAAATCTAAAACTGTAGGACGATCAAAGAAATTAGAACCAATTATATGGCAAGGACCTTTAATAATAACTAGAAAATTTAGTGACTTGTTATTTGAAATCAAATCAAATGTCAAGAAACCCAAAATTATGCACCATGATAGAGCCATACAATAGTAACATTATTCCAGACTGGACACATGCACTAAAAATGAAAATAGGCCAAGAAAAGGCAGAACCTATCAAACAGCAATTAGCCAGTAAGCACCAAAACAATAAATTACGTAATACAGATAAGACTAAAAGTTCATTAATTGTGAATGGATCTTTGAGAAGAAGCATAAGAAACAGACAAAATTTTATAGGGCTCGACAATTGACGGAAGTTGATCTCTCTCTCTCTCTCTCTCTCTCTCTCTCTCTCAAGACAATTTTGATTGGTAAACAATCAATCATGGGGGTTAATTCTGTAATTCTATTGGACGGATAGACAGTCTTATTAAAATAGGAATCACATTAGTGTACTAATTCATTTAGATACTATTATGTACAAGTGCAAAAACTGTGAAAAGGAATTTGAATATAAATCTAAACTTCTGAGACACTTCTTAATACACCTACCTTATTACAATGGGGACTTTATTTGTTTTTTTGTAAATTAAAATTTGATAGTGAACTTAAACTAATAAATCATTGTATAAAATTTTCAAAGGAACATAAAAATTGTGATCATCAGGAAACAATAAATTTAAAGAAAATAAGAACAGATTTTTTTAAAGGAAATATCAAATGCGAAAAAAAAAACTGTTTAAAAAGGAATATATAACTATTCTCATAAACAGATCTGCACAAACAAATTTGAAGGTACAACATATAGCAGATAACATGGCTGAAATAAATTATGTCGACCATCAAAATGATTTGAAAATTGATGATGGAACAGAGATGTTGCAGGATTTTAATGACAATCAATGTGTAGCTACTAAACTAGAAACAATAGCTGCTGGTGAACGTGTTCCCGACCCACCAGTATTTACATCTGGTGCTTCATATAACCCAGGAACGCCGCTAAGAGATGAACATGCACCAACATGTTGCTGTACTGCAAAGGAATATTGACAAATTTGAGTGTCGTATGGCTGCAGCTCTACAGTGTCATACTGACAGAACTTTAAGTGCGCTTCAACAATCGCTACGATACCAACAACAACTTGTTGAACTAACAAATCAAAAAGGCAAAAGAGTGGAATCCTGCCTTAAAGACATCGGTCAGGCTATTACAAATAATATGCAGTAAAATCGCCTGCTTGCCAGGTCCGCCTCCTTAGGGTCGCGGGTAAGTCGCCTATAACGGGAGTGGGCCCATCCAGGGTCAGGCCATTAAGATGGCCCTGGGTGGGAATAATGATGAGCCGAAATAAAGAACATACTGTAAATAAATGTGTTAATAATAAGTGTGTGGACATTAATGATATTTGATTATTTTTTTGTATGGATACTTTAACAAACATTATCATAAACAGTTGGAATATTTTGATTGAACTCTAAATAATAATGATAATGGTAAAAAAATAGAGATCTAATCATGTGTTATTTCTTTTGTTCTTTGTGTGTGTGTTTGATTTTTATGTGTTTTTTTTTAAATAATTAAAGACTAGAACAAATTTTATGCTCATTGAATTTAGAATCAATCTTAGAATTTTATTTGTTTGTTATTAAAAGGTATCCTTCATTACTTATTCCTTAATTTGTGTAATGTAAGAACTACATTTTTCTGTATCCTGAAGGCTACAGTCCAAGAGAGGGGTAGTGTTACAATTTCTAAAGTAAGCTATCTTAACATAGAATTTATTCTAATATTTACTACAAGGTCAAGTTCTTTGATTCTTATCAGTCGGTAATTAAACTGTGACTGTTTTCTAACTTGTAAAGATCCGGCAATTATCAAAGGACTGTTTGTATCACTATTGTTCCTCCGGCAGTGATGTAGCTTTTCTCTGCTGTCACTATTGTCCTTCCAGCAGTGATGTAACTTTTTCCTAGCACTATAAAAGGGCTGGGGAATTCATTTTAGGGTCTTCTTATTTTCGGGATTCGGATATGGGAAGCTTTCAGAAAGATAAATTTTAAACTTAGAGAAAGGGGAATTTAATGGTATGAAAGTTTGGACTGTTTCCCCCAACAAGTAAATAATGTATATATCTGTGTTTATTGGATTTATCTTGTATATAATCTGAAATAAAAAGTAGCTTAGAAGAAAAATGATTTATTTATTGTGTTATGCTACAGATAGTGTAAATAGTAACTGCTCAAATTTTGAGCTGGTGGCAGCAAATTCAATATGACGAGTTTCATAAAGGTTTAATAAGAGGCCCAACTTAAAACGGTTACAGTATCCACACATTTTCATAAAAATTCTGCTCCGCTTCGAGTTGCAGGTTTGCTATTACTTTTGTTTTACAAAATAGTTGTGCAAGCAACATATACCGAACGAAGCGGAAAATAGTGTAGCGTGTTAATACATATATCTGGTTTTCAGTCATTTCCAACAAAAAGAGTTATCAACAAAAACATACATTTTTCGTTCCAAGATGGTGGCGTTTGTTTGTACATGTTGTAGGACACGACGCAGTTTTGATTCCCAGCCCTGGTTCTGTTATTGGTTACTTTGTAGCTCTCTCTCTGTTTAGGCCTGAAAGTCGAAAAAGTTGTTTTGGGTGATGAGTACAATGGCCGAACAGGTACTAAATAAGTTGTTTTCAGTAAAAGAGATGCATTTTGGGCAAAATTAGCGATGACATCTTGTGCACAATTGGAAGTTTGCCCGTCAAGAACAATTTCCATCCTTTGTAAAATTGCATAACGAAGTTGTGCATCTTTTAAAAAACGAGTACAATGGCCGAACCAAATTTAATGAGTACAATGGCCGAACGATTTTATTGTCTGTCCTATTTCGTCAAATATTTCATTGAATTATGCTTGTTTCTCGCTTCCTGTCTTTGAAATCATACAAATAAGATATTTGAAAGTGAAAAGTAGGAAGAAGTATTAAATTATTATTATTAAATTGCGGCCTAGTTTTACATATAAATTTAACGTTAACTGTATGCTTACCTCAATTTCACTGCTTTTACCGAGCGTTTAGGCCGCCATTTTATGAGCCCATTGTACGATTTTGGTCACGTGATCATCCGCAGTGATATACCTAACCTGTAAATTGATCGATTATTAACAAGTAAAACAGTTGCGCAAAGAAATTTATACCAGGACATAGCTGTTTATGACACGATTTATAATCTCTAGTGTGCCCGGTGCAATTTAAGCCTCCGTTTGATGGTGGGGGATTTGAACATGTCCTTGTTCTGCTCTGTGTGCCATTATCACATGTGACGTCACACGCTGACCAAGCTGTCCAGTCAGACCACATACCGTCAACTGTAGAAATTAAAATTATGTTACTTATATTTTTCATTTAATATTAAAGTGACATATGTACGGTGGCACAAAGGTGACATGTGTGTGTTTTTATTTATCTCGTGCGCACGAGATACTATGTCGTGACCACGAGTTACCTAGTCGTGGTCACGAGCTACTAACTCGTGGTCACGAGATAGTTAAGTCGTGGGAACGAGATACTATGTCGTGGCCCCGAGTAACTAAGTCGTGGTCACGACACGAGATAATTAAGTCGTGGGAACGAGATACTATTTCGTGGCCAGGACTTAGTAACTCGTGGCCACGAGATAGTTAAATCGTGGGAACGAGATAACTAAGTCGTGCGCAAGAGATAATTTACAAATCAGATTACACTATGATTTTTAAACTTAGAAAAATTTCTGTTTAAAGTTTTACATGCAACATTAATGTCTGAAAATACTGAAATCTTCACTTTAAACTTGATACATGTCTTTAGGATCATATTAGAAAGTCACCTTCTAAGGTCCATAAATCAGACATTAATTTTGAGTTATTAAGTTATAGTCCTTTGTGGGGACATTTCTATTATAGAATTGGACAGTTTGTACGTACACCGGCCTGTTTACCTTGTTTATACGATAATTTGAGAAGGAATTAGTCCTGGTTTATTTTATTTGGTAGGGACAACGCCCATGGGCATTAGATAGCCTTAAGGATGTTTGAGGTCAAGGGTAAAGATAAACATGATACTTCATGTAATATCCTTGTCTGATGAAAGATTTAAAAGGAATAAACCATGGTTTATATAACCTAGAAAGATCATTGCTCCTGATCAGTAGATGACACCTAATACTTTTGAGGCCATTTGGTCAAAAAACAGGGTCACAATGACGCTAAATGTAAAATCATTGACCAATCAATAACTTGCATAAATTACACTTTTACCGGTAGGTGAAGTAGGGGCATCCTTGTACTATAGCACATGTCTAGTTTATTAGGAAAATTCAATTAAAAAGTGTAATCTGATTGGTTATTTATCTCGTACGCATGACTTAACTATCTCGTGGCCACGACTTAGTAACTCGTGGCCACGACACAGCATCTCGTTCCACGACAAAATTATTTCGTGACCACGACTTAGTAACTCGTGGCCACGACTTCGTATCTCGTGTCCACGACATAGTATCTCGTTCCCACGACTTAACTATCTCTTGGCCACGACTTAGTAACTCGTGGCCACGACATAGTATCTCGTGCGCACGAGCTAAATAAAAACACACACATGTCATCTTTGTGCCACCGTAATAATGTCACTTTAATGTTAGTTTTTCCCAACAGAACTTAAAACAGATATTATTCTTACACTTGCAGCAGTACGCTTTAACTTTCCTCGAATTATTTTGAGGCTAGAACGTATATATAAAGAAAGTTTGTCATTAATGTAAAGTATTTTATTTTTTCATACCTAAAGAGCAAAGGTCGCAAAACCTAGGGCAAATTGTTTTCGCATGATGAATGTCGGCACATATATTTGTGACTGTGTTCAGGAAACCACAATCAATGTTCTCATTATCAATACAACTAGAAGCTGAAAAAAAATATAAAAATGAATTTTTTTCCAAATTTTGGTATCTATATAAATAGTATAATATTATTCTTATTAACTTCCACTTAATTGATACTCACGAACAATCAGTGATGACTAAGGTTGGGAGGCGCATCAGTGAATACATATCATGGTAGGATTTTCAATTTTAACCGATACTCCCGAAGATATGAAGGCTGGGACAAGATTAGATGTGAGCAGGAAAGAGATTTTCAGATAATATGGGGTACGGGACTAGGGTATGAGAAAATTTTAATTTCTTGGGGAACTAAGTAATTGTGGTCTACAAAGACAAGCTGATGTTGTTTTTTGTATAAAAACATAAGTTACTTATAATATGGACCCTTCTTCAAGTATTCTATCGAGTTCTTGTAGCATATAAGTGACACTACGGGGAAATCATAGCTGTTACAGATTAATAGTATCTTTCATGTTTTGCGTTTCAGATTGGAATACCCGAGGCTTGCTTAGTTACCGCCCATGGGCCGGTTCTCGGAGAAAGGATATTCCGATCCGAACCGCAAAATTATGTCAAATATTTTTTCTTGCATATTCTACTATATTCCATTATACATATATTTTAAACTCTTTACATTAATTAATTGTCCATGGACATTTATGTCATTACACCCTATAACGTCAGTATGTTTACCATTGCCTAAATTGGGTAAAGCTAATTGTATATCGCAGCTTCTCTTTATAACATTTATTAAAATAATCTATCATGCTGGAGAATAAAATATGTTTTATGATTTCATAATTTTAGACACAATACAAGTTGTGAGATTGACCTGTATAATGACTTGGTCTTTCTTGTAATATCCACCTATCAATTAATCCATCTATAATTGAAATAAAAATCATGCTTGCAATACTTTTTACATATTATCTGTATAAATAGATTACGTTTAAAATGTCCACAGAGATGTTTGTTACAGTTGTCAGTACTGCAGCATTCATGGCAGCTCTCTGTTTGGCGTTTCTGTAAATCACGACCAACCAATTGTAAAGCACCACTGCCACCACTATTTGTCGTACTACATTTCTTAAATATTAAAATAAAATCATAATTATTATAAAGTTCTGGCAAAAACAACTTGATATAATTGCTTACTTGTCATCCATATTATGGTATTTCTAACAAAATAAATATGAGCACTATGTCCCTTGTTTCAAGTTAAAAATATCAAATATATGTTCAAGAATCTTTTTATACTTAGAAAATAGTTTAGTTTAATAGATATCAAAAGATATTTAATATTTAATAAATAATTTGTCTGGTGCAGCCATTCCGGAAAATGTGTATTTAAGTTCCTCTAGTATAAGCTGTATACTTTTGGAAATACAAAATATCTGAAGCTGTTTTGTACTGAAGGAAAGCAATACAAGCTGAGTTTCCTAAATTGTCAAACATATAAAATAAAGGTGGCTGGAAAAATGGGCGCATTGGTAATTAAACAATTTTGGGGACTTAAAATATGAATTCCAGACATTGCCCTTGTATATAAGAAAGTGTATTTCAGAAGTGAGAAGTATTAACCCTAGTTCTGCATATCGTCGGCAGCACAATTTAGCCGCTAGTGATTAAGACGAACATCATTGTCCGGCTTTAACAGGTCAAACGGCTTACGGGATTTCGACGAAAGATCACAGGAGTTATTAGTACTAATCCATGATGTGAATATAGCCGGCACGTTCCCATTAACTGCAAAAAATGGCCGCCAAAGCTTAAAAAAGTCTGTCCTGCTTTCACAGGTCAAACTGATGACGGGATTTCGACGAAAATTCACATGAGTAATTAGTACCAACTTTAGTTGTGCATATCGCCGGCATATTCATTTTCGCTGCACAAACTGGTCGCCAGAGATTTAAAATAGAAAATCCTTGTCCGGCTTTCACATATCAAATAGCTGGCGGAATTTTGGCGGAAAACACATGAGTGATCAGTGCAAAGTCTAGTTGTGCATATAACCTAGACGTTCAGCTTTGCTGCAGTAAATGGTCACAAAGCTAACAACAGCAAAACCGTGTTAGTTTTATTTTCTTATCCAGGAATTCCAGTAAGGGGGGTCCGACGGCCAAAATATGACTAAAATGTGGCTAAACATGTTGCTCCGTTTGCTCTGCAGAAAGAAGACATTCACAGCATCAATCAACAGATAGAAACAGAAGATTCTTCTGACAAACTGAAAATTACTGGCAATCATATTCCTTTGATGTTGTGAATGAATGTGACATAGAGTAGGATATTATTTCATGTGATACACCATTGACAGGTTCTAAAATGACTCACTCAAGTGTGTTTTTCCTGGCTATTAATTGAAACATCTTTTGTGATATTAAAAAACTTTTTTTTTCTCCGTCTATTCCTATCTGCAGATTTACATGCAAACACACATTTTTTATTCGGAAATCTTGCTATTCTGGCCCGGTCGTGTTCGTATCAAACAGGTACCATTTAGTAAATGTAGAATTAACGTCTGCATTGGACACTGTAACACATATTGTGTCATTTGTTAAGACCATGTATTCAAATTGTTTTAACCAGATAACATTTTAATTACATGTAGTAAGATAAAGTAACTTCACACTGAGTACGACTGAAGCGTCGTGGTGCGTTATCTTAATTTCCTGCAAAAATCGAAGTTATCAAAGCCTTAGAACAACAAACTGTATTTAAGAAGACTTTTTAAACCTTAATTTAGAGGCTATTCCTAATAAGGACTAAATAACACCTAATTCTGAGTTCCAAAGGCCTTATTTGAACTTCGCATAATTAGGACTCAAAACTTTTAATAAGGAATTATAAATTTCAATCTTATAGAGAAGCATAAGTTATTCATAAAAGGGAGTTTGAATAGCCTAATAAGCACAGTTTAAAAGTAATAAATTAAATTATTACTTGGTAACTTCTAATTATTAGTACTTTTAAACTTCTCATTTGAACCTCAAAAAGTCTAAATAGGACTTAGTAACTCCAAATAGGAATTTTCATCGTCCTTAGTTGGACTTTTAAAACTAAATTGATAGTTTGTTAACCCTAATTTGGCTTTTCAACTCCTACTAATGATATTTATATGTCATAATTAGGCTTTTATAGCAGTCAGTTTTTTTAATTGAACACTTTCAATAAGTGTTATGTTAAGTTGTTGATAAGATTTTATAAAATACAATACACTAACTAGGCTTAGATACGCAAAAACACCCCCTTTCAACACACATTATCATCTATTTCTCTATAATATAAGTTCTAACAGTATTGTTCGTGACCAAATCTTTCACAAGAGCGTGTATAGAAATATATTTACGTGTTTGTCGATGCATCCTAAATGGTATGCCGGAGATTGTCCGATGTCAGATAAGTCTTGGTAACACAACTGAAACATTTAATTTGCAAAATCGTTATTTCTTTCAGGAAACAAAGTGTTTGGTATTAATGTTAATTTGTTGACACAAGTTGAGCTTTTAAACACTAGCTTACGTTAAATGAATATTCATGTATGTAAAAAAATGAAACCGGTCATTGCGGAAAAAAAGAGTTATTTATGTTTTTAGGAAAATATTTGTATGTTCATTACAGTTAAACACTTAATTATCACATTGATCATTAGACAAACTAAAAGTATAGTAATAAAATATATTTGTTTAACAAGATACAAAATTCAGTTGGAAAAAAACAAGCAAAAAAAAGAAGAAAATACAGATATATGCCTCTTGTATAGCTAATGTGCTAGCTGAACTTTATGTAAGGAAATAACAGCATTTCCAGTAGTTACCTGACCAGATCCACATTTTGCAGTATGTGTGCAATTGTCTTTATTAAATATATTGGTACAACTATAACACTCCAGGCAGTCTAAAATGGTACAAAACTTCACAGCAAGTGTACATTTCAACCATAAAATGGTTAATTATGTAGTAAATAACTCAGGTTTAAGCATTATCAACGCATAAAAAAGTAACTAAAATTACCAGAAAAGTGTAAAAGACATTGAGAATTGTTGTAAGTTTTGATAAAATAGTTGAAAATTATAAATAATGCAAAGTTTGTAAAATGAGCAAAGACAAGAAAAGGGTATGATAATAAAATAAACTGACCAACATGTCGTGTACCCATACTGAAAATGAATACCACCAAGGCTGAAATTATCAAAAATGAAACAACTTAAATAAGGTAGCATAAATGTGCATTTTGAAATGTTTGAAAATAAAACCAAAGTATTCGTTTAATTTAAATATATACTACTCAAAATTTGCTAAGGATAATATTTTTTCTACAGTGCGTTACTTGTGTGAATTTGTAATAAATGTGAAAATAGATTAAAAGGAATAAATATAATTAGTCAGGAATTGATTTTTATGAAAATAATGACAATGGAAGTGTTCCTTGACGTGTGCCTGTTGCGGAACGAGTATGCTGGACTAACATCAACATTTTGGAGATCACATAGTGGATAAAAAAATCTTGCAAATCAAGAAATGGTCTGGCGTTGGGTGTTTAATACCGAGTATGGTGTCCGGGGGCATTTAATTACGGCCTGACATCGCCGCCACATACTGCTGATGAGCCTGCGGACCTTGTGATGAGGAATCTGGGCCCATTCCTCTATGATTGCATGCCTTAGCCCCTGAACTATTGTCGGTTGGACGTGGCGTGAAAATGGCTTTCTGCAGCATATCCTAAGCATGCTCAATTGGATTTAAATCCGGGGACCTCGCTGGCCAATCCATGCGGACTAAAGTTGCCTCCTCAAGATGCCGGTTTTTGATTGGGGCTCTGTGTGCACGGGCGTTGTCATTCATAAGAATGAAATCAGGGCCGACTGCGCCAGCGTACGTGCGTACATTGGCGTCTAAGATTTCATTGACGTACATTTCTGCCGTCAGTGTACCGTTTTCAATGATGTTAGGTCCGTTTTTCCCTGAGTACTTATTCCATCCCACACCATGACTGAACCACACCAAAACGGTCGTGTTCTGCAACGCATGCTGGAGCTAAGCGTTTATTTGGACTTCTTCAAACCCTAGCCAGTCTGTCCGTGAAGTTCACACAGAACCTGAACTCATCAGTGAAGTGGACTGGGGTCCAATCATTAACTGGCCATGTGACATGAGTCTGCGACAATTGCAAACGCTCTTGAATATGACGTTGTGTCAAAGGAATGCGATTTGCTGGCCTCCGTGACCTCAACCCAGCATCATGCAACCTGTTTCTAACAGTTTGTGTGCTTACACGCACACCAGTTGCATTCTGGAAGTCGTTACGTAAGGTCGTAGCGTTCGAGAACCGTTGGCGCCTGGCCTGAAGGACAATAAATCGGTCCTGGGCTTGAGTCGTTGAACGTTCCCGACCTCCGGCGTGGCCCTGCAAGACATTTCCAGTCATTTGGAATCGGTTCCACATCCTGGAGACAACGCTCTGGGATACCCCAAGGACATGGGCAACGTGCCTTTGTGAACGGCCAGCCTCCAACATTCCAATACCCCTGTTCATCTCATCTTCACTAAGACGACGTCTAACCTGTCGATTTGCCATAGTTTGTTAATTTCGAACACAGTTTTACAATAAAACGAGAGAAGTATTGCTGCTTGTACACGTTTAAGTGAAAGCACATGGCCATAAAACACCAAATTTCCATGGGTATGCTTTTCCACGTGCTTATCGTGCAAGGTGTTTATGACATATCGGTATGATTTTAATATGATGATAATAGGACTGAAAAATATGCAATGTCAAAATATTGAGTATATATATATATATATATATATTATATATATATATATATATATATATATATATATATATATATATATATATATATATATATATATATATATATATATATATATATATATATATATATATATACGTTATATATATATATATATATATATATATATATATATATATAACGTATATATATATATATATATATATATATACTCGTAAAACTTTTAACAATTCTGTTCTGGTCAATAAAAATATTAATTTCATACTATTTGTATTGCTCGTGATTCATTATTATTATTTATTATTATTATTATTATTATTATTATTATTATTATTATTATTATTATTATTATTATTATTATTATTATTATTATCATTTAACTTGTGTGTAAAAATTGATGTATTTATAATTAAACCCATACTTACCAAAATTATAAGATCTATAGGTAATCATATTGTCTCTCCTTTGGAAAGAACACCCTACTGATACCAAACCTTTGGCTGTACAGAATTCTTATTCGCTCCGACAACATATTTGTCGGTCAATGAATATTAAAGAAGCACGTCTCCAGATTCATGTTAATTTTCATAAAAAGTTTGGAAATGTATTTTAAGAGTAAAATATTGTGAGTTGACAAACAGATAAAGTAATTAGCATATTGCAATCGGCACTTACAATCCAAGAAAATTACCAAAAAATCGTCAAGATATGCAAAAACAGCCCTTACTGCGTTAGTAACGCAGTAGAAATATAGTAATAAAATACTGCAAAATCAGTCTTAAACCGCACTTAACATGTAAAATATAACTTGGAACTGGAATGTTTTTACCTTTAAATTTTAGTACATTTTTCTCAATATTGACTTTCTTGAAATAGTTTGGCTCATCTGGAGGCGTGCAGCTTTAAACAAGTTCAGATCATTAGTGTGACATATTATTGGGAGTGCACTATGTTTTACAACATAAGATGAGATAAGGAGTCCTCTATTTGGTATCATGTCCTTGGACATCAGCTATAAGACATTGTAAAGTCTGCTGATATATATCAGTCACGAAGTCACGAAGCATTATCAGTTCTATTGCATCAGACAAATAAAGCCAAATAGACCCTAAACAGCGGAGACTTTGACAGTGAGACCAGCCAATACTATATCACATACATGTTAATTTAGTCGATGTGTAATTTGATCTTGTCGTTTGTGTAATCTTTACTTGTAAGGTGATTATACATGGCAGATGCCAAAATCACACACTCGTGCCGATTTTGCGACTCCGTAAAAATGGTATTGCACGGCCGCGCATATATAATGACGTGACGTAATTTGCGTTAAATAAACGCAATGAAAAAATGTTTCTTTATCACTTCAAACGGTTTTTATTTTGGGTATGTGATAAAGAGAATATTAAATTCGTGTAAGTTCATAACTAAATTTGTTGAACTCGTTGAATAAGATAATATGCCCGCCAGAGGTTTGCATAATATAATTTTATTCAACTCGTTTAATAAATTCAGTATTAAACTTACAATCATTCAATATCTTCTATATATGAAATAGAGGCTATATGAACTAGACTTCATTTGATGTTAATTTCAGACTATAAATAACACGATGTCAAATATAATTTTAAATATCAGCTGTTTATTGAAAAAATATTATAGATATATTAATTATGCTGCAGAATCATTACATTATATGAAAGAAGAAAATAAAAACAAACAACAGATGGTTAATCTATTTTTATGTAGTGTGATTAGTCTCTGTAAATGACTTGCCATGTACGTACTGCTGTTTTTACAAATATTCACTGTTTATATACCTCATGTTTGTATCATGTATGATGCACTGAAAGAGATAAAGAATTTGAATTTGATGAATTTCATTATCTCTTCAACTGTCCGTACTTTTTCGATATTAGCAAAAAAAAATAATAGCTATTGTTGTTGTTTCTTTTCTAAAAAAAGATTAATTTGGTTCAAAATGGTCCATAAGTCTTTCAATAACCATGCCAAAGTTATTGCATGTGCCTTTGCATCTCCTAAATCACGGAGGTTGTAAAGTTACAAACAAATATTTTCGTGGTTCATGGAATACGATGCTGGACGATACCCACAGTGGTATGCCAACACGAACACTGACACCAAGATTAGAAGGATAACACCACTATTCTTCGAATAGGTGAGCTAACAATTTCATTTAGGTACAGTCTTTTTTATACAAGTGACATGAAACCTTGCAATATTCTATATTTTATTTGTTCCATTTTTAGTCACACAGATTATTTTATTAGGAAGTAATATTTTCCTCAAGAATCAGGGGCATTAACAATGCATTGTATATGTGATGGAACAGTGCACAAGATTTGTTAAGGGAGGGAATATCCTTCGAATAGACATGCTCTGTGACCATAACATTTCGTCGGGGGTGGGGCTTATGTTTAAAATGACGTGTCTGTGGGGTTTACCCAGGAAACAAAAAATGAAATTGGCATGTTAACTGGTGGCTTTTGGTGCATTTTAGATGCACATGGTGAAACCGAAGTGTCTACAAAATTTTCACAGAAATTACATATTATTTTTGCAAAAGTGGAAGAAAAAACCTGAAGCTATGGGAAAACAAAGATTTTAAAAGAATAGAGAATATTAGAGGGTGAGATGACCTAGCCATGTCTCCTACAATGCCCCTAAATAGTTCTGCTCTAGGCAGGAAAATCCCTGATAATGTATGACATAAACCCTTAACTAAATAAAATGGAATTTTGAAAGGGGCTCTGAGGTTATGAAGCCTGCATATCACAGATCAAACGTCAAAAGACAAATTTAAAAAGCAGGCAACATATCCTAAGGCTAATTATACAGTATTCAAGTAGGAATACTGGAACCACCAAAGTTGAAAATGACCAAATAGAAGAAACTTAAAGTACCACATAACATGTATACACAACAATAATGTCGTGCTGAACGATCTTCAAGGATCGAATATGTAACATCATTGATTAAATGTACGAAGAGACTTTTTACAGCCGCCACACGTCACAAATAACACAGATGTGACAATAAAATAGAGAAAAACAGAATCCCTAAAGAAAGTTTTTAATTTTAGTTACACTTTTAAATACAGTTTTTAGCTCGACTTTTTTTTTTTAAAAAAAGGAGAGGTATTGTTATAGTCCTGGCGGCGTTGCCGTCCGCAAACTTGTACCTGGATCATAACTTTTTTAGTTCTTGGTGTATTGTCTTCATACTTGGCCACAACAACCCTTGGGATTTCAGTAGACACACACATTTTTTATTGAAGGTCAAGGTTAGTCTTTTTAACTTGAAGGTCTATCCGAGAAGATTGTTGTATTCTAGTATAAAGACAATCCATTAAAAAAACAAAGTAAATAGCAATAATGGGCAAAAATCAAGCAAAATTTAGACATTTAACCTTGAAGGTCAAGGTCATATATGAATGAAGGTCAAGTTTATTCTGGTATTTTTTAGATCTTGTCCCAAGGATTGTTGTGGCCAAGTATGAAGACTATACACTTAGAAGTAAAAAGGTTCTGGTCAACGTTAATTGTTTTGAGACGGCAGCGTGCAAGGCTCCGGGAACGCCGACATTATTGTAAAAATACCTCTATGTACCTTTTTTCTCAAAACAATTAGTTTAACTTCTGTTAAATTAATTAGATTAAACGTTTTTGTAAATATACCTACCTTGTGCATGTGTTGCAGAAAGATCTCTGTTGTGCTTGTTGAGCCAAAGAAAACTCCGTTGCGTTTTTAGTGAGACCCTCGCGCTTGCGCGAAAAGCAAGTGTGTTTAATTTTAACTCCGTAAAAATGGCAGACATAAAGTAGAAGTCCACACACTGCAAAACATACTTAAAAGTTAACGTCAACTGAGACCGAGTCTGCTGACAAGTTGTTTTTTTAAATAAAATGAAGAAAATGAATTTTAAACAGTATATTAGTGATGTCCAACAGAGGACGTCCTCACTGTTCCAAAATGTCCTCAGTTGCTGCTGTGTTGTCTGACGTATGTCCTTAGTCTCACATATGCAAAGACACACACACACTCACACACGCACGCACGTACACACACAAAGACACGCGCGCGCGCGCACACACACACACAGTGGTGGAATAGGCCTTATCTGTTGATCACTGTCTCGTGGTATATAAATTATTATGTATTATATTATATGTTATGTTGCCATTGGTCCATTTACTATCCGATTTTGACTTCAAGCTCAAGACTTTGACCTATGACTCCCTCAAACAAGTCATGTATAATATAATTATTATGTTGTACACTATTTAGAACATTTAGATTTTATTAATGTTAAAACTTTGATTATTTACATTATAAAAAGTAAAAAAAACTGAATATTCGTCACGTACATTAGTTATCTTAGTTAAATTTAAATTTACTTATTTTAGTTTATTTATTAGTTTGATTTGGTTTACTAGGAGAAATTATAAGGGTATGTATCAGATAAGTATTTATAATTGTTTATCTATATTTCAATTATTTGGAAGTAATCAGAATTTGATATTGAAACAGCCTGGGAACGGGTCCGGACGCCCAGGTCAACCCGCCCCCCAATCTGTTTTTTATTAGAAATTGTTTTAGAAAATTGAAATTTATTATTTGATATATATGGTATATTTTATTTTTATTTTGGATTAGCAAGGGAACCTGGAGTCAACCAGAACCCCTCCACGGAAATGTAGGATACAAGTACCCCCTCCCTGATAAAACAGGACGCCGCCGGGGTGCCCGAGACAGTCTTCTGCCGTCCCCCCCCCCCCCCCGATGGAATGGACCTGATGGAAAGCATATAATTTCTCTGAAACCCCGCCTTACCAAAATCAGTCATTTCTATTATTAATTTTGGGATCGATTAGGATTATCATATGCTATATAGGTCTAATTACATGAACAATGATGGAACATTGTACAAATTGATCAAAGATAGTTTAATATCTAACCCAAATATATGCTATATTCATTATAACTGTTATATTTACATTAGATTAATACAGAAAAGTTGTAAAATAGAAGATATAAGCTATTTATTGTTTATTTCAAAGTAGAGAGTAGCCTGTTTAATCTATTCCATTGCATGTTTTGGCTAATTATTGATTGGTTTTATTCCGAGAAGCCATGAAAAACATATGAGCCGCGTCACGACAAAACCAACATAATGGGTTTGCGACCAGCATGGATCAAGACCAGCCTGCGCATCCGCGCAGTCTGATCAGCATCCATGCTGTTCGCTATCAGTTTCTCTACTTGTAATAGAGTTGGTAAGCGAACAGCATGGATCCTGATCAGACTGCGCGGATGCACAGGCTGGTCTGGATCCATGCTGGTCGCAAACCCATTATGTTGGTTTTGTCATGACGCGGCTCATATTATGATTTAGATTTGGTCTATCTTAATGTGTTTATGTTTATTAAATCTGTTAAAGTAACAATCTGATAAAAATTTAGTACAAGTTCATTAGTTCTCTCCCTTGGACTGGGAAATCAGAAATTTATCCAGAAA